TGAAAGTGCTTATATGTGTGTCGCATTTTGTTTTAAAAATGTTCATCAACACTACAATCTTATTTCAACTGGAAGCGTATAGTATAATAACTGAAAGTGTATTGTATATGAACTGAAAGTGTATCGTAGATGAACTGAAAGTGCTTATATGTGTGTCTCATATTGTTTTCAATTGAAAGTGATTTGTATATGAACTGAAATATTATTTCAATTGAAAGTGATTTGTATATGAACTGAAAGTGTAATGTATATGAACTGAAAGTGTATTGTATATTAACTGAAAGTGCATTGTATATGAACTGAAAGTGTAATGTATATAAACTGAAAGTATAATGTATATGAACTGAAAGTGCATTGTATATGAACTGAAAGTGCTCATATGTGTGTCGCATTTTGTTTTATAAAATATTCATCATTAAAACTTATCATACTATTGCACACCATACCTATACAGATGAAGAAAGCCACAAGAAAGCAAAGAACCAAGGCCGTCTTGGACTCACAAGAAGCCAAACCAACGCCACCATCTCAACCAACACCTGGAGCCGAAAAAACATCAAAGAACGTTGAAGCCACAGGACAACCTGCTGATAAACCACCAACACCTGAAAATGAACCAACCATTGCATCTGAACCAGAACAAACTGTGCAAGAAGAAGATGGACAGGAAAATGGACCACCTGAAAATGAACCCGAACCAACTGTTCAGGTGGAAGAGAGGCAGAAAAAAAAAGGGCACCCAAACGCAAATCAACAGCAAAATCACCAAAGAGAGCTAAAGCCACCAAACAATCTGCTCCTGCTCCTAAGACAAACACAACTGCATCAAAACCAGCTGCTCAGGGATCACCTAAGACAAACACAACTGCATCAAAACCAGCTGCTCAGGGATCAAAGGACCAGGGACCATCGTTGCCCAAGCGCAAAGCAACAGCAAGCCCCAATGTTGAGAAGAAAATACACAAGAGGATAAAGAAATCTGCAGTTAAGAGTGAGATGAGTAAAATGCAATATCTACAAACCAGAATGTCACCAAAGTATTTTCGGACCCTCATTTCGTCTCTATCACCAGATCAACGCAGAGCAGTTCAAGATATTGGGTTTGCTGCTATGTTAAACTTGACCATATTTGACTGGGATAGCAGACTAACTAGGTATCTTGTCGAAAGGTTTGATGTCTATGAGTGCATACTGATGTTGGAAAATAATGACATGCAACTGTCAAAGGACGATGTACACAGCACAATGAACCTTCCCCAAGGGAAAATCCCTGTTATTGAGGCTCCTTCTGAGAATGAATCTGTTGAATACAAGAAATTGTTGGCAGCTTGGAGACAGAGGTGGGGAATAACAAAAGGTTCTCCGGTGACGAATACAATGCCAGCGGCTATTATTGAGAGAGGAGACAGTGGAGATATGTTCAAGAGAGACTTCATTGTGCTGCTTGTATCCAGCTTGGTAAAGGGCAACCAGAGCACAAAAGCAACCTACAAGATTTTATACTCCATGCTTGATGTTTCAAAGTTGAAAGACTTGAATTGGTGTCAATACACATTCAGATCTTTGGTAAATGCTGTTGAATCTTGGAAGAATAACAAAGAGAGCTTTTTCACTGGTCCTTCACTGTTCTTGCTGGTAATATTTTAGTATGCACTTGTAATAATTTTCTCATTAATCTATACACTATATGCTACTACAATTACTGATAACATAACTGCTAATTATAACTTTTATTCTTTCAAACACAGTTAACATACCTTGACAGAGTACAATACAAGGGTGAGAAGATTCAAAGGGATTCCCCTGCAATAACTGCTTGGACTGAAGAAGCAGTTAAGCAAAGAATCAAGGCAGAGGTATTGTCTGGAAGATTTGGACGGGGAAAGGTACTTGACAGAGCTCAACATCAAGAACGTGCGACTAGGGAAGAAAACATACCTGAAAAGAGCGGTGCTCAAGTGGAAGGCAGCCAATCAAATGAGTCCCTTGGGAGGATTACATCTATACTGAATAGGATGGCTGACACAGTTGTTGAGTTTGCTGGGGTGATGGCTGCTATAGGAAACACAAGAACTGGTGGAGAAATAAAAAAGATCACTTTTGGGAACATTGCTGACATGATTACTTCAGTCTCTTCTTCACAACCAGAACGAGATGAGACTTTATTGTATGATGATGAGCTTTACAATCATCCAAGTTTCCTTGAAGCAGTCAATGCGCTTGAATAGGCATTCTACCAAACCACCAAAGACAACCCGACTCAAGCTCCTGCTAAATCACAAACGCCACATCCGATTCAAACACCAAGTTTTGATCTTGGAATTAGCCCTATAAACTCATCACAACCTCAACATATCCCTGAAGAAATGAATGATACGCAAGCACAAGATGATACTGAAGACCAGAACAATGCAAGTGATATTCAAGAGGAAAGTGACAGTTCAGACTCTGGTGAACCACAACTGGAAACCCCACCACCTGGAACTGAAAACAATCTGTTTGATAGGTATGCTCCAACCTATTATATCTACACTGCTTCCACTCATTTTCAATTCAAGTGCAACCTTTAATAAATGAAACTGTATTATTCATAAAGTGACACCATATTGTATGTAAACCGACACTGAATAATATGCCTGACACCATATTGTATGTAAACCGACACTAATTAATATGCCTGACATATATATATATATATATATATATATATATATATATATATATATATATATATATATATATATATATATATATATATATATATATATATATATTTTAGGAACTGAAACCGAAGTTATAATTAACTGATACTATAGGTGTACATAACTGAAACTGTATATGTATATAACTGAAACTGAGTTGTTTATCAAGTGATACTGCATTATATGCATTGTATCTCTATATGCTGATACATGCATGATCCTCCATAAAACTGCAGTTTGATTTCTGAGCCTGACATTGATGACAACAATGAAGATGTTATAATTGATAAGACAAAGAGGATCAGTAACCTGCCGTTGCGCCTAAGGTCCCCATACTGGACAACAAATGTTGAAAAGCTGAAGAATGTCGGTCCAAAGGAAAAGTTGATTTCAGACTATGCTTTTCTTGACCCAACAGAAAAACAACCATTAACACTCTCTAATATACAATTTTGAATGCTACCTACTTTATTTATATACATTTTCAAATATGACAGTGAACAACTGTTTGGCCATGAGGGGTACTACATCAATAGAGAGCAATTCCAGACCTTAAGAAGTCCTGAGCTTGAGAGTATATTCTTAGATGTTTGGTGTCTAAGACTGAATATGTTGGATCTAAGCCGTGGGATTGATAAGCCAAAGAGGATATACTTCACAACACAATCTTTTGTAAGCAAACACCATTACTATTTTTCACGTTATGCATGTTTACTTATGAATAACATCATTTAATGTAAAATGTATACTCTATAGCTCCAACTTGACACTCCACCAGATTGGGCACCACACCACCAGTCGCATAGACAAGAAGACTTTGAGCAGTGTCTAACCACCGAGATACAGAACATGGGGAATGTCGATATTAGTGATGCAAAATTGGTAATCATTTCTTTTTCAAAATATTATATTTACAGTTAAACATACTACTACTGTTTTCTAATTTTTTTCTTTAAAAAAACATTAAAAAATCAAAACAGGTGTTCTTTCCCATTTACCGGCATCATCACTTCTTTGTCTTGTGCTTAAATTTCATTACATCAAAGCTTGAAATCATTGACAACCTGCCACTCCTCAAAGGGTTGAAAATTCAAAGCAAGTATGGTGACTGTCCACAGCTGCTTGTAAGTCATCTAGTTACTTACTTCAATACTCAAAACCAATTCACCTATAATTCATATCTAATTACTTCTGACATGCAGCAAAATGCATTTGCATTATTCCTTGGAAAGAATGGAATGAAAGATATGCAGGCAAATGTGAAAAAACTGACTGTTGACCTAGTTAAAATGAGTTGGAGATCATCAGCTAACAAGATTGACTGTGGTTTGTACGCAATGAGACATATGGAAACCTACATTGGGGATCAGAACTGGAAATGTGGGTTTGTTCCAAAGAAACAGGATCAAAATGTATGTACATATAATACTTTACATATTTGTACTACTCAAATTCTCTGACACAAAACATAGTTAACTGATGTGTACCAACAAAATGCAGGATCTCTACTTGATGTCTCTACGAGCAACATATGCAGCCAGAATTATCATGATGCCAACCAATCAGTACAAAGCAAAAGTCCTGAAGAACGCCAAGACAGCGTTTGAAAGCAACAAATAGATCACTATGATAAATGGAACAGCTACGAAAATGTGAATGTTTGTTTTTTATATGACAATATTTTTGGGTACAAAATGACATATTCCATTGATATTTTGGGTAGATTATCATCTTGTTTACAATTTTTGTTGACTGAAAGACGATGTTGTTTGGTTGTAAAGTTTGCTCACTGAACACACTGATGGTTCTTAACTTCAAGCTTTTTGGTTAATCAAGTATAATGATGCAATTCCATATAAATGTTTTTAGTTTCAGTTTATTAGACGTACACTTTCAGTTCGTATCCTATACATTATCAGTTCATTACACTTATAGTTTCATTTACTAAGATATGAAAATATTAAAGATATTATATTCAGTTTCATTTTGCATAAACTAAAGTATCATTTATTATACACTACAGTATCAGTTTATTATATTTATAGTTACATTATAATTTATATGAAAATGTGAGAGACATACTGTTTAGTTTCATTCTTCATACACTGTGGTATCATTCTATATACACTACAGTATCATTTAAAAATATCTAGGAATTCATTTAAAAACATAAAAAATAATATGTCAAACATGCAGCAGACTTTCATACTGCAAAAAACTATGCTACCATGACAACACACATACTATCTAATATCTAAACCAATCCAATCCAATATTACAATGATTGTAATTGACCTATCAACTAGATTTAACCAAACCTAACTCGTGACTGCCGCTAGAGGGGTGAACAAAATAACCACTGCCAACAATATTAGCAACAACTCCTTCAACAGATGCCTGCACTGCAGCCTTTGTACTCATTTCAGCAACCTTGACACCCAACTTCCGCCCTCTCACTTGGTTATACTTTTTTTCAATTGTGCTAATATGCCTCCTATTGTGTTCACCTTTCGCCCTATTACGTGCTGGATTTTGAATTACACCAGCTATCCGTTCTTCACCATCTTCAATGACAATAGGACCAATATCACCTTCAACCTTCCTCCTAGCATCCTCAAAAGCATTTTCACACACTTCCCGAGCCTTGCAATTTGCTTGGCTGGATAAAACTAACTGCTGAAACTTCCTACCCATTTGAATAACCCAAACAGATGACGCAATGCTAAGAATATTCAAGGAACTATCACTGCTTATTATTCTATCTTCAATACCCTTTTTGGCCCATCTTTTGATAATGTACTTATCTGGTATTGCTGCAACACAGTGGACATTAAAAATGCGTAAAGAATGTGAGCATAAAATACCCATCTCTGAAAACAACATACAGCTACAAGATATATCCAAATCATTCACTTTGAAACACACTTCATGACGAATGAGATCAACGTCAGGACGCCACACATGATACTTTATCTCATTACCACTTCCCCCAACAGATTCTTGATGGCATGAAGTCCCTTTCAAAAACTGTTCCTCAAAAAGATAATATATCTCAATAGTGTATATGTCCCTAGCATGTGAAAGGAGCTTCACATGATTCATCACCATAGGTGCCAACCCTTGTGAACAACGCACATTTTCACCGTTTTCCCTACTTCTCCACTCAGAAACTACACTAACAAATGAATTATAAAAATCACACAACCCAGCTGTTTTTGATAATCTTCTAGATATTGAATGATTCGTAGACTCGCTCCTTTGAGATGATAAAATACCATCAGAGAAATATTCTTTACTAAATGCAGGACACCATTTCTCCCTAATAGAATATAGCTTATTTAACCAAACATTTTGATGGCACCCATATTCTGTCATCATCCTGAAAAAAATATAAAGAAAAAAAAACATGAATTTAAACCTATACTGTATATTTCTAAGTTGATGATCATATTTCTAAGTAGAGGGGGTATAGGGAATGCCGAATAAATCCAGCTGAGCTCTACAAACAAATACAATCATCAACTGTTAATCACTGACACAGTATCATTTGATCAAATAAGCAGTATCATTTCATACAACCTATAATATCATTTAATAGCTAAGGTACTATCAATCAACAAACAGAACACAAATTCACCAGAATATAAAACACTAACATAATATCATTGTGAAAAAATCAGTAAAAATACCTGGTCCAATAAAACTCAAATTCAGCTTCGGTGTCAGTGTACTTCAAAAGAAAATTGAAAAGCTCTAAGAAACCTTTTTTATTTCTCAGACTTTTTATGTGCTTCTTCGAATTCTCCCCAATGTGCCATATACAAAGCCTATGATTTGAATTCGAAAATACTTGTGCGATTCCAGCAGCCATGGCAGCACACTGATCAGTCATTATTGTTTGAGGATGCTTACCACCCATTGATCGTACAAATACTTTGAACAACCAAACAAACGACTCTATCCTCTCATTGAGTAAAAACCCACAACCAAACATCACATTCATGCAATGATGATTCATGCCTACAAAAGGGGCACATATCATATCATATCTATTTGTACGGTATGTTGTATCGTGTACAACTAAATCACCAAACAAATCATAATCAGCCTTCATTTGACCATCCCTCCAGAAAAAGTTACACAGCCGTGCATCCTCATCAAGTTCAAATTCAAAATAGAAATCAGATTCATCCATTTGTCTCCTTCTAAATATCTCAATCAAGCTATTAGAATCAGTGTCATCTAAATGCTTTGCCGAATCTAAAGATATCATGTTATACGCATCCCTAGGAGTAAATCCAACAAACGGTGACCCCCCTGACTGGCATTTTAAGAAGCGAATACCATCCGATAAGGGGACCCCACTCCTCTTCATGTTTTTTAAACATGTCAGCTGATTCTCAGACACTTTCCTATGCGATCTAAGCATATAACTTGATGAAGCCGGACACAGTTCATGGTTATGCTCCTTCACATGTTTAGTAATAACCCATTTCCCATTTGAATCTATATCAAATTGACACATTGCATTACATCCAGACCTAGTAACTATCTTTGAGTAACACTTATTAGGATTGTCTGGTATTATTCTAAAACCAGACTTAGAATAACAACACACTTTCGTCTTCAAAATCCGAGTGCCAGTAACATAATATTGTTTGCCCTTTCTACCACTAAATCCCATACGAAACGCATAATCATTGTATTTACCAAATGCATCTTCTATTGATCCAACAGACAGTCCCAACAATTCTTCATTATCTGTGATTTTATTAAAACATCCCTTTAACATTTCTACTGAAACTATATATATTACATTAGCATTCTACTAACACTATTGTCCATTAAACATGAAACTGGCTACCATGGTTTTAAAAACACAACAAATTCAAAATCAGTTAAGAATAGAACTAAACATGTAACCTGGAATAGCTGACTCTTCAACAATAACATGTTCAGATGTACCATCAACAGCAATCGAATTGTCAAAATCATCTGCAACCAAATAAAATATAAACTGACACTTCAGGTCACTAAAACCGACACTATATTGTTCAATAACCGAAACTACAGCGATATCAGCATGAAGCACCTGGAATAGCTGACTCTTCAACAATAACATGTTCAGATGTACCATCAACAGCAATCGAATTGTCAAAATCATCTGCAACCAAATAAAATATAAACTGACACTTCAGGTCACTAAAACCGACACTATATTGTTCAACAACCGAAACTACAGCGATATCAGCATGAAGTTGCGTAACATGGTCCTGAATAATATATAACTCAAATAAGAACATGAACAATAACATTAATGCATTTAATACCTGGAATATACTCATTATCGTCGACAAAATTTGTACACGGAACATCGAACGCAATCGGCGAAATACATTCACCGGCGACCGGAATATCATCTTTACCTGCAACAAAAAAAAAAAAAAAAACATAACATATCTACCAATTACACTCAAACAAAAACAACACCACACAAGACTGTAATACATAGTATAATGATATACACCTACAAATACTGAACTGTTCTCATCAACGATCATTGAATTCGAATCAATCTCCTCAATCCTGTTTGTAACTACTATTTCATTCATATTTCCGATCATAGAAAACAATACAATAATTCGACTGATGCTAAAACTATATCAATTCGACGAATCGAATCAGGAACAGATCGAAGAATCATAAGAAAAAGAAAGGAAAAAGGAAAGAACGGCAAATCTAATAAAAGGAAAGAAATACGACTTCAAAATAGGAAAATAACGACGACTGATAGAAATTAGCCGTCCGGAAACAATTAACGGCGACGTCTGAACCGCACCCTAATTAATGGTAAACGGCGTCGTTTCATACCCTCGGTGCATAATGGATTATGCACCGCAGTGCATAATATAATTTGCCAGGAAATTAATGTTAGTCAAAATTGGGATTAAATTTGGCTAAAATGGAATGGGCATTTAATGAAATGGTGGATACACTATGGATTTTTAAATATTGGGTTGTTATCAAATTGGGTGTTCTACCATCAAGATATCATTTATTGGACTGCTTTCTCCAAAATTGGACTGCTACGGTTAATTTCGAGACTACCTTCCCTTTGCATTTAAAGCACGTCAAGCAAGTCTCGAAGGGGCAATTTGTAGGTATTGAAAAATTTAAATAATATTGTTGGACCATGGTGGATAATTGATTGCTAAATTAGTTACTTTAATTAAGCTAATTGGACTAATAGTTATTTAATTGGGTTAATTAAATGGCCCATTAAATAATTAATTAGTTTAATTACTTAATTAAATGTAATTGAATGTTGAATTATTCAGCCCAAGTTGGTGAAATATTTAATTGAGTTGGACCAGGCTGCTTGGATGAATTGGGTTGCCTAATTAGTGGGTTTGACTTGGTCTTGACCCATCAAAATTATATGTGGATTATATAATTTTGAGAAATTGGAATATTTGATATTATTTGAAAATTTAATGAAATCATGAACCTGGACGCAATGGTGTCCCGATACGTTCCTTAATTTAATTAAAATAATTAAATTAAATTAAGAATTAAGAGTTGGTTGGAGATTTTCTCTCACCCTCACCACAAATAGTGGTTTCATTTTCAAAGAACGAGCGCTGGAAATCTGCATATCGAAGCTCTGCCGAAATCTCGCCAGGATATCGTCTGCAACACGCCCGCAGTTATATATACTACGTATATTGCGCTGAGGAATACGCCACTTGAACACCGGAAGCCCTTCTTTGAAGATCAAGCTGCATATTAGCCCTTCATTGAGGAACAAGCTACTAACTCCGGAGGCCCTTCAGCAAGGAACTACTCCAATTCGGCACACTCCCGAATTCGGCATACTTCCAGTTCGGCATACTTCCAGTTCAGCATACTCTGAACTCAACACACTTTCAACAAGGAACTCGGCATACTTCCAGTTCAGCATACTCTGAACTCAACACACTTTCAACAAGGAATTCGGCATACTTCCAGTTCGGTCATACTCCCGAACTCGGCATACTTCAAGTTCAGCATACTTTGAACTCGGCACACTTCCAATTTGGCATATTCCAAATTTGGCACACTTCCAATAGGCATACTTGTAGTAGAGAATCAGAGGACTTCTCATATACAGAGATTGTACCCTTTCCCGTTTGATATATACTTGATACTACTTGTAACCCACTGGGCGTGCCAATTTGTGAACAAAGAAAATTGAATAATGTATATTAATATTCAAAATTCTAGTTACATTGAGTATCAATGAATGCGGTGTGGGTACAAGTCTCTGGATGATCCTCTGATTCTCCAATTTGATGACTTGAACACTCCACCATTGAAGGGCCTACGGGTTTCAAGTGGCTTGATCTTCAAAGAAGGGCTTGTATATATAGCTTGTTCTTCTTGAAGGGCATCCGGGTTCAAATGGCTTGATCTTCAATGGGGGTTTGGATTAATAGGCACAGGCATGATCATTATGGAGGAGGGACTTCTACTTTCAGTATCACATTTTTATGTGATCCTGAATAATATTTTTCTAGATGTTTACATCACTTTTCCTAGGATGTGTGTGATTACATAGAAATGAAATGCCCTATTTATAGCTGTAGGATAGAGAGTTTTGATAAGCTCAAACTCTTTTGATATTATCTAATTAACAAATTAGATAATATCAATATTATCCAAAATATTTCAAATATATTCAAATATTGATAAATAATTAATATTAATCAAAATTTAAGTGTTTACACTCTCTATAGACGGAGCGTTATGATGTGCAACCGTGTGCACCATGCAATGTGCACATGGAATTGGATTCATAATTTATATATTATAGATTCATAACTTTTATACTATAGATTCATAATTTCTATACTGTAGATTCATAATTTCTAAACTGTAGATTCATAATTGCTATACTATAGATTCATAATTTCTATACTATAGATTCATAATTTTTAAACTGTATAGTTATCAAATTATGAACATATAGTTCAGTGATTTGTGAATACAGAGTTCAATAATTGGAAATATGAACATTGAAAATTATGAACATAGAGTTTTGTAATTGTGAATATAAAGTTCAATAATTATGAATTTATAGTATAGAAATTATGAATCTATAGTATAGAAATTATGGATCTATAGTATAGAAATTATGGATCCAATTCCGTGCGCACCATGCATGGTGCACACGGTTACACAACATAATTTGCCCCCTATAGACCAATCATTATTGCATGGACCATAAATAAAAGATACATTTTTAATATACTAAAGGGTACATTATTTATATACGAAAGGTACATTTTTAATATACTAAAGGTACATTATTTTATATAATGTATCTTCAGTACAAAAATAATGTATCTTTAGTACAAAAATAATATACTTTTAATATATTAAAAATGTACCTGATATTCATGGTCCACACAATTATGTGGACCATGATCCATGCAATTATTTGCCCCTATGGACCACAGATTGGGCTTATTTGAATATTGTTTTGGGCTAGATTTTAAATGGGCCAATCGCAAAAGTCGGCAAATTATATTATGCACCGCGGTGCATAATCGATTATGCACCGCGCGTCTTTTTTTTTTAAATGAAAATTAACAGTGTTTATTTTTGATGTTTCGCACCCTTTTACAAAAAGTAACTCTGTTATTCAGTGTCATTTTGTATACACTGCAGTTTCAGTTGAACACAACTACAGTTTCATTTCGATATAAATATAGTTTCATTCGATATTTATAGACTCAAATATGTGAAAATGTTATTTAATTTTATTTTATATACACTATAGTTTCATTAAAACACAACTACATGATCATTTTGATATAATTACAGCTTCATTGTACAATATACACTCAAATATGTGAAATGTTATTCAGTTTCAGTTTATATACACTGCAGTTTCATTTCACTATAACTACAGTATCATTTTGATATAACTGCAGTGTCGGTTTGGATATACTGTAGTGTCAGTTGGTGTTTAATACACCAAACAAACGGACTCCGTTAACTCTAACGGCGGGCCGTTTCTTTACTTAAAGAAACGACGTCGTTTTTTACCGCGGTGCACATGCACCGCGGTCTATAATATAACGACTGCAAAAGTCGGACTGGGACTTATTTGGCAATTTATATCGTGCACTAGGGTGCACATTGCATTGTGCGCCTTGATGCAAAAATGACGTAGTTTCAGATTTTTTTTTTTTTAAATTTCGCTGTCCTGTGTTGGCGGTTAATTTTTTTAAAAAAAAAAATTCATGTTCAAAAATGTACATAATTTTATATTAGAATACACATAATTGTATACATGAATGTACATAATTATATAATAAAATACACATACTCTTTTTTTTAATTTCCTGATTCGGATGTTCATAATTGTATAAAAAACATGTACATAATTGTATAAAAAATGTATATAATTGTATAAATAAATACACATAATTGTATAAACAAATACACATAATCACGTTAACTCTCTATCGTGCCTCTCAAAATGACGTCGTTTTAAAAGGCGCAGGACGCACAGTGCTATATGCGCCGTGATGCAGGGTATAACGATTGGACTTATTTTGGGTGAAATACGATCACCCTACAGGCCCAATATCTTCTACTTATTATGAGAGATATCAGCTATGGATGTTAAATATTCGATCAGGTACTTCAATAATAAATATTATTGTGGTAGATAGGGCTGTTAACGAACCGAACATAAACGAACGGAGGTTGTTCGTGTTCGTTTGTTAAGGAATTTGGAGTGTTCGTGTTCGTGTTCATTTGTTAAGGTTTTTGAAAATCCTGTTCGTGTTCGTTTGTTAAGCGTTCGTTAGTGTTTGTTAACGTTCGCGAACATGTTCACGAACGTGTTCGTTAACGTTAACGAACATGTTCGCGAACGTGTTTGTTAACGTTCGTGAACATGTTCGCAAACGTATTCGTTAACGTTAACAAACACGTTCACAAACATGTTCATTAACAAGCACGTTCACGAACATATTCATTTACGTTCATGAATACTTAATAAACAAACACCTGCACATGTTTATGATCACAATTCGTTCGTGAACAATAAATAATATACGTTCACGAACAATAATCAAACAAACAACACAACTACAAAACTAATATAATATATGTTTGTGAACATGTTCGCGAATATTATTAAACGAACACAAACGAGCTTGTTCACGAACATTATTAAACGAACATAAACGAGCTTGTTCACGAACATTAGTAAACGAACACAAACGAACTTGTTCACGATCTCTTAGCAAACGAGCTTACAACTGTTCAAGTTCTGTTCGTTTATTAACCGAGCTCTAAATTTTGTTTGTTAATGTTCATTTACCTTAACAAACGAACATAAACGAACGCTTACCGAACACGAACACGAGTAATTTGCCGAAAGCTCTGTTCGCTAACACCCCTAGTGGTAGATAAGCGGGTATGAGCTGTTTCCATATGCGTTGAAGTAGACAACTGTATACATATAGGCTTTGGAATGTTGATTTCATGACCTAGGGTAATCACTCGACGGGTTAACATAATCGATCAAATGAGTAAAATATATAAGTAATTTGAA